ATAAAAAAAAATACTTCTTACGACTATAAATCATGCGTTTCGTTCAACTGTGTGCGATTCTGCCAATGCCATACTCGAAATTTTGGGTACTATAGGCCAGCGTCAATTAGTTTTAAGTTTTAACGATATTTTTTTAATAAATACACAATAACAGAATTATAAATATGTCTAGAACTCGACATTAAAGTCGACCCGTCCAAAAATGAGACTAACATAACCTGTGTCAAATACACCTACAATTCTATCTACCCACCGGAAACCACACGCGTAATGTCGTCAATAAATACAGTAAACTCGTTGATTACTTAGAAACGTCTAGGAGAAAGCAGAATTATATGATATATACAGATAAGGATAACATTACTTGTACTACACCTTATCTTAATTCCTTAAAATGCCCGATATGAAGCGATGTACCTAAATACTATATTATTTATCTATAATTCTGACTTTTTTAAGAGGGAAAAAATCCCGCCTTTCCCAGGCGGGAGAGAGTGGCAAGCTGTTACTGACTAAAAACCACCCCGCCGTTCCTACTCCTGTACTTCCACCCATATCGCCCCGGTAACTGTTTACGTTATCCGCTGCTCGGAATGGGCATCAGCCCTATTGGGCCCCATCCGTGGTGGTCTGATGGCTATATGAGGAGCACGCGGAACGCGACGCGCTGTACACTCGGGTCTGGTTATGGTCGGGCGACGAACTACCTATGCTCGCTGACCGCAGGTCCGTGCTCACGGTGGCCGGAGATCGTCCCGCAATACCTGACGCATGAGTGTATCTCGCGACGACTGGGGCGTGAGAAGATTCGTTCCCTCACGCGCCCCGCCTCCTCCTTAGCTATCATGACTGCTTCGCAAAAGGAGGAGATTTTTAAATAACAGGTTACTCACGTGAATATATGAGAAAAGCTCTACTAGTTTCACTGCTCATAAGGAAGAACCCGTCTGTGTCTCGAAACTAGTAGAGCTTTTCTCAGTGTATTCACGTTAATCCGCGATTTATACTTAATTTAGTATGGCTGACGATAGTTAATATAAAAAATAGTACCTAAATAACAACAGCCTGTGTAACAATGAATACATTAGAATATTCGTGTATCTAATCACATAACGATCATATCTATTAGGTAATTATTAGAAATATAAATGACTACTAGACACTATCATTGTTATCTGCAACTTTTAGAGTATTCTTTTATCAAAGGAACAAATAAAATAGCTTTTTATAATAGCTATCGTGAGACATATTAAATCAACTAAAATTGACGGTTTCTTTTATATTCCATGAGGTCTGCCCATCAAAAATGTCGGTCCATTAATTATAAAAAAGTCTATCTATCTATACATATGATAAAATCGTAAAAAACTGAAAACTGTAAACTGAATATTTTTTTAAAAGACTGCTTGACGCGTGAACTAAAATCGATATCGAAGCCAAAACTACGATTTTTATAATTTTTGTCCGTTTGTCTGTATGTATGTCCGGGCTAAACTCAAAAAGTACTGTATGCATTTACTTCAAATTTTGCGTGAATATTACTAACAGGTTGGAACAACATATAGGCTACATATTATATCGCTATCACCTGTGTGGGAGAAGCTATGAATCACTATTTCACGAGGACGAAGTCGCGGGCGCAGCTAGGAGGGTATAAAACATCACGCTATGATCGATACACATAACATCACGCCTTTTATCCCCGAAGGGGTAAGCAGAGGTGCACATTACGGCACTTAATGCCACTGTACAATGTAACACCCACTTTTTACCTATTTCATTTTATGAGACCCATGTAATAGGGGTGAGATCATCAATCGATCAATAAGATCAATAGGACAATAGAAAAATACTGTTCTTTGTTTTAAGTGAACTCAGGGGCATAACTTAGTGTTTATTCCAATGAGTGTGGTTATAAAATTGACGTGTATTTCCTTATAATAATATAACTGACGTGCAAATTAGCTATAAAAATGACGTATCCAGGAGGGAAACACGGTTACTCAGCAAATTTATAAATAAAGAGTAACTGGAGGATTCCGGTCTCTTCCAACCTTTATCAGACCTCCACACAAGGGGCCCGGTAGGGGGGTGTTTCTTCAAAAAACTTTAGCTTTTATTTTACAAATCATTATCCTCCCGCTTTATTAAGCATCGCGGTAACTTATTAGTATCTGTATTTTATTGGATTGGGTGAGAGCAGTGATATGCCTCAATTTCTTGAAACTAAACTTTGTATTTTAATCAGCAGAATTGTTAACTATGGCTTAAGGCTTTTTTTTAGAGAATCACCCAGGCCTGATGCCCAATACGGAGCCGCGGAAGACTTGATCACCATGTCACTATTCGACGGTTCACACGATTCTAGACGGTAAGTCCTAAAGAAAGGGATAAACATTAATAAATAGAATACCTGTCTATTGTTGGAATACTCAAACGCTACTCAATTTTAAGTCGTGCTTAAGTATAGTTCTGTCTCTACAATTTTTTTGTAAAATGACAGAGATGACACGATATTTAAGCACGACTTAAAATTGAGTAACGTTTGAGTATTCCGGCATATGACTTCCGAGAGACGGCCTTGTTCCAATAATAATAATTAATTTTGATCTATCAACGGCGAGGTTTATACAGTATCGTTGGTCTTATGGGTCAGGCATTGATATAGGATCAAAATAAATCAATAGGATACTGAACTGAAGAGTATCTATCAGGTGGTTCGAACCAGGAGTAGGAACGGGGTGGTTTTTAGTCAGTAAGAGTCTGATATTCCCTCTCGCCTCTTACAAAGCGGGAGAAGTCATCGGATGATTTTCCCCATCAAAAATAAAAACGTTCATGCATAACATTATACCCTGGTTAAAATACAGATTTTCGATATTACTGCATTCAAAGGAACGGGGTACTAAGCTTTAATAAATTAAAATAGAATATAAACAAACTTATCGTTTGACTAAGGAAAAATAATACAATACTTAACTAATTACTACAACTGTTTGACCGTCCGACAACTGATAAAATAAAACATAAACAAACAAAGGGAATAAGACTATAAACTAATAAATATTATTTTATTAATATATAAAACAAAGTCGAACGACTGCCTCGTTGGCAGAGTGGTCGCGATTCCTGGGTAGGGCTAAGTATTACTGGGCTTTTTAAAAAAAAATCTCAGTAGTAGCACGGAATCTGGAATTGTGCCCGGTATATGGCCACAGCAAATCGTGTGAGTGAGGTTACCGGAGGCCCAATTACCCTCCCCTTCCCCAATCTCCCCATTTCCTGAATCCCCACTTAATGCTACTGTACAATGTAACACTCACTTTTCACTATTTATGTTATGAGTCCCATGTAATAGAGGGTGAGCCTATTGCCATATACCGGTCACAATTCCAGACTCCGTGCTAGTACTGGGATTTTTAAAAAACCTAGTAATATTTTGCCCGACTCGGGAATCGAACCCGAAAGCCCTTGCCCGGCAGTCGCATTTGCGACCACTCGGCCAGTGAGGCAGTCAGAGAGCAGCAGAGGCCAATAATGTTATTTGTTATAAAGAAATAAATAAATATCAATTAAATTATTTTTCCTTATACAACAACTAGGTTATAATTCCATTCGATAGCATTCACAGGAAACTGTAATAAAAGTAATTTTTATTTTCATTTCCTTAAGGCAAATAGGCATACCGTCCTTTACATTGGGACAAAAACGTACCTGCTTACCATTTCAAGGAACGAAATGCTTTATATCATGACTCAAAACTTAAATAATAACTACGGGTTACTCACGTGAACATACTGAGAGAAGCTCTACTAGTTTCGAACCACAGAGGGGTTCTTCCTCAGGAGCGTGCGCGATATCGCCGCGACCGCGAAACTAGTAGATGTTTTCTCAGTATATTCACGTGAGTAACCCGCCATTTTTAGTAATATTACGATATTTATAAAAATATAAAGAGCGATGAAGAGAAGTATGACAGGCACGTGGCCTGGAGGTCGAAGACGTAACAAAACCTACCAACGGCGAGTACCAATGTGACTTTTTCGAGTTACATGTACTTTCTAAGATTATTTAGACACCACTGACAAACGGTGAAGAAACCTGGGCTTATAATTTCTAATCATATGTTTGAAATCACCAACCTGCATTGAGAAAGCGTGGTGATTAATGCTCAAACCTTCTCCGCGTGAGAAGAGTCTCATATGGTCAGCAGTGGACACTTATAGACTGTTGATGTGTGATGTGATTCAGGAAAAGTGGAACAAGTCAACAAATTGTAACATACAGGTATCCCAGAGATGGAAAAAAAGGGGAAGACAAGCCAAGAGATGGGAGGATTTGTATGATAACTTTCGTGAGACATACTAAATAAATTATAATATTTTCAGCTTACTCACGTAATTATTTGACGAGGAACTCGACTAAACATAATAATTTAGATGGGAGGATGAGTTGAAACTAGCAGCAGGCTCTCTTTGGAGAAGGGTCGTCAGAGATAGAACTCAATGGAAATTGTTGGCGGATGCTTGAATGTGCCCCTCTGCCTACCATTTTTCGGGGATAGAAAGCGTGATGTTATGTTTATATCCTCTAAATAGGGAAAACATAAATTTTCCACAAAAATTAGGTTCAGGATAAAGGACTTCCGGTCACCGCAAGGCCGAATGCGAATGGCGAACATGGGTAGTCGCGTTCCGCATTCCGCGCGCGCCTCAAACAGCCATCAGACCATCACAGAGAGGGCCCAATGGGGCTGATGCCGATACGGAGCCGCGGAGAAAATATAAGGTTGCTGGGGTAGGAACGGGGTGGTTTTTAGTCAGTAAGAGTCTGACATTCCCTCTCACCTAACCCGGGCGGGAGAAGACATTAGGTGATATTCCCTCCTCAAAAAAATAATTAAGGCATTATTGATTGAAGACCGAAATAGGCCACAACGACTCTACCCGCGGGTATCACGTACCACCCTGGACACAGTGGTATCATATATCGCTACTCACCTGACACAGAGTCCTTGCTTTCCGATTCAGGATCGCCATCTTTCTCCTCAGCTTTCATATCTTGCATCTGAAATAAAATAAAAATGTATTTGTTTGGATAAGCCGGTAGACGAGCAGACAGATCGCCTGATGGACCCGCAACACCAGAGCGGTGAAAAGCGCATTGCTGGTCTTTTAAGGCTTAAGGATCTAAAGACATGAGGATTAGTGATGAGGGGAATATTGGAAATCCGGTATCCTCAGTCACACGGCTGCACACAAGTTGCTTCACAATGGTTGTCTGCTCGGCCGTAGTATGACTCCGGTAGAGCCGATCCATTCGTGTCGAAGCATGGCGAGTCCGCGTGAGGAATGAAGTGGAGTAGTGAAGTGAGGCCGTACCTGTCCGTGGCGCGCGTCGAGGCGGCGGCAGACGTCGGTCTCCCGGCGCAGCGCGGCCTCCACGTCACAGCCGGAGTCCAGCACCCACAGCAAGATCAGCGTGTGTAAGTCTAACACGTCTTCTTTCTGTTCGCTGCCACATAAACAAACAAACATCGATGTAAACTTTTTCATTATTAGAGACTGACAGACAACAATTTAATAATTGCCAATTTGTTTTAAGTGTGGGAGAGCCATGCTTCGGCACGAATAGGCCGGATCGACCGGAGTGATACCACGGCCGAGCAGAAAACTGACGTGAAGCAACGCTTACGTTGTGTTTCGTCGTGTGAGTGAGGTTTCCGGAAGGCCAATTACCCTCCCTTTCCCCAATCTACCCAATCCCTGAATCCCCAACGATCCTCAAACTCCTAATCCCCAAAAGGCCGGTAACGCACTTATAACGCCTCTGGTGTTCCAGGTGTCCATGGGCGACGCCGATTGCTTACCATCAGGTGATTCGTCTGCTCGTTTAACAGCTTATGGCATAAAAAAATGGAGCACTCAACGGCACTTAATGCCACTGTACAATGTAACACCCACTTTTCACTATAGTCAGAATTTTAATTAGATTCCAGATTTGACAATAGCTACTGTCATTTTGTGAAATAATGATACCACATATAATAGTGTAGTGATGAACACCAAAATCGATAAACAATCAGTGTGTGTGTTTTATAATAAATGTTACAGAAAGTGACAGGATAGCGATAGCGATGACGGCGACAATTTATAAAATAGCTTATTACCATAATACATCTATCTGATTTATTTGTCATGTTTCTTCATGATTACATTTTTTTATTTATTTCACACACAATTATAAAAGAAAAGTCTCAGATCGTTAATTAATCGTCAAAACTAAATTATCATTTCAGAAATATTTAATTTCCTGATATAATTAGTTTACGGGAATAAAATTATAAACGAGAAGAATCGATCCAGCAATATTGCATTTCCATATCGAATAATTTCGCAACGTCACTATTTAGTACTTGTCATAACGTTGCAACACTGAAATTGGCAAATCCGGAATCGAATTAAAATTACGAGTATAGTTATGTCCCATGTAATAGGGAGTGAGCCTATTGTAAAGCTAATAATATTGTTTATACATACGCATTTTTGTTCTTTTTCTGTGAAGCCATGTGTTGTTCGAGGCTTGTCATATGGAACACGTAGTTATGTATCTCCAACGCACTTAGTCTGAAACACAAATATTAGATTTTTTAATTGAAAAACTTTTTTGTAATAAACATTATTCTTATTCAAGTTAATCCTTAAACATTTTGTGAAAATATTTTCAATTTATTTCATTTCTAATTAGTTTCCGGCTCTCAAGCAAAATGTCGCAAGTTGAATTTCCGAATATATTATACTAGCTAATTCCGCGCGATTTCACACGCTCTGCTCAGCTCCTACTGTTCGTAGCGTGATGTTTTATAGCCTATAGCTATCCTCGATAAATGCGCTATCCAACACAAAAAGAATTATTCAAATCAGACTTGTAGTTACGGAGATTAGCGCGTTCAAACAAACAAAGAAAAAGAAACAAACTCTTCCGCTTTATATAATAGTATAAGATAAGATTGTTATTTATGTATATTTTTTTTTTCAAAAAATTTTCTCTATTATAGTATCACGGAGTCTAAAACAATGTCTGCAAAGCAACAGGAACTCATAACAGAATCATCAAAAACGTCTCTATCACTTTATTCTATAAACCCCCGTTTATCTCGAAACTAATCGAGCATTCCTCAAAAAACATAAACAAACAGAAATAATATAAATAATTTTGTTTATGACTTAGAACACTGACTTCTAAACTTCTATCTTCTATCAGTGGGTAGGCAGGACATTCAATAATTATTGAATGTCTAGTTACTTTGCATTGTCTGACTATTATAATAGTTATTTATTAGTGCATGGTTCTTGAAGTCAGTTTTGAAGATTTTGGAACGAGCACGTAGCTTCACTGGTGGACTGACTGACAGACTATCATTTATTTTGTATTTGTTGACGTTTCAAAAGTACCAAATTATGGTTTAATTGAAATAAATGCTTTGACTTTGTTTTTTTTTAAACTTAATTATTTTTAATGGACATACCTTTTAGCATCCAGAGTGTAATACATGGCTATGGCGGCGTGTCCGTCAGTGGGACAGCAGAGATATCGTCGCGTGCAGTGTTTGACGTCTACCAGCCACTTCGCGAAGGAATGGTGGAACATCGAGAGGTAGCCTGTTGAGCGCTCCATTACTAGGATACTGGAATTAATAGATAAAAATCGGTATAAGCACACATAATAATATTACGCCTCGATGGCCGAGTGGTCGCAAGTGCGACTGCTGGGCAAGGGGTCTCTGGATCTCGGGCCAAGTATTAATGAGTTTAAAAAAATTCTCAATAATAGTACGGAGTCTGGAATTGCGTCCGGTATATGGCCATAGGCCCCCTATTACATTGAACTCATAACATAAATAGTGAAAAGTGGTTGGTACATTGTACAGTGGCATAATGTGTACCTCTACCTATCCCTTCGAGGATAAAAGGCTTGATGTTATGTATGTACGTATGTCATGTAAAATAATATTAAATAATGTTTATCGGAGGTCAAAAACAAATTATTTCGACGAATAAGGACGGCTCTTTTTCAATCAACATAATTTTCACAGCTGATTGATTTTTATATAGGAGAAATGTCAAAAGCTTTACAATATTATTCCTCAATTGCAATCATCCACGACTTTAAAAACATCATGGATTGTATTCACTGTAGTTGTTAAAAATGTGCTGTTGAATGGATTGACCAATTATTGGTCAAACAGGACCTCAGACTACTTTAGCACCATCTAGTGAGCACAAAATGTGAGATCAATGACCGATTAATGGGTTTCGATTCCTGAACCGAGTATACTGACCGCCTGAGTAGATGCAATCGTCGGTTGAAGTCCTCCCTGGTGACGGAGTACTCCTTGGTGAGCAGACACCTGTACAGCATCTCCTCCGACACTCCGCACCTGGCCGCCAGCAACACGTCCAGGAGGAGACGAACCTGGAGAGACGAATAAATATTGTGAACACTTGTGTTAATGAAATTATTACCCCCTTATCCTAAGCCTGTCTCCCATCCTCGTCCTCTGTCCCCCATCCCCGTCCTCTATCTCGCATCCCCGTCTTCTATTGATCATCGCCGTCCTCTGTCTTCCATCCCCATCCTGTCTCCTATCTCCGTCTTCTGTCTGCCATCCCCGTACTCTGTCTCCCTTCCCTGTCCTTTGTGTCCCACCCCCGTCCTGTCTCCCATTCGCTTCTTCTGTCTCCCATTCCCGTCCTCAGATTAATACTAACTGATATTTATAATGTTACCTTGGTGAACCGTCTCCCATGAAAGAGTCGCTGAGCCAGCCACAGATAGAGTCCGTTCAGAGTGCCGGGGATCTCTCTGATCTCGCGTAGAGCTATGAATCCGTCTGCTACACCGTCTAGCACCTGCAATCATGAAAATAACATGTTGGTATGATGATGTACTGTTTTTTTTTTAAACTCAATAAATATATAACCCATCAAACTGTGTAATGGATTTACAATTTTCTTGTTCTGTACATAAAGTCGAAAATAAGCTGACGTGACATGATGTGGACATTTTTAGGGGGGGGGGGGGATCAGGGGAGCCAAACACCAGCGCGGAGTGTTACCACGGTCCACATAACGCTGAGATGGAGGCACGTTCGGCATGGAGATGATGCATCTATTTTTGTTAATGTGTATTGTTTATATTTTATTGTTTTATTTTTTTTCATTTTCGTCTACAATGTGCGTGCAATGTACCGAAGAAACATTTTTCTTTATTCCGTTTTTCTTTCATTGTTGTGACGCTAGCTAATTCTCTATTGGACGAAGAACGAGAGGGGCACAGTAGCGCTATCTGGTAGGCCTAAATACGGCAGGCCCCATTGTATATGAACGTGTTTACCTTCTCCAAGTACAGTAGACAGCCATCACTCTTGATACGTAGATGGTCTAATGCCGCCGCGGCCGCCGCCGCCGCAGTGGAGTCACTCGATACTCGAGCTCTGGGGGAAGAAAAAATAACTGAATGTTGTAACGCGCGCTTGTATTTAGAAAATACGCGTAAGGCCAGCACGGGTAGGAAGCATGCGGGAGGGCGGGACCGCCTCCACCCCGCCACGCTGCGCCGCTCGCCAGTTAGCCAAGGCCAATAAGGGTAGACGCGCGCCTAATTCGCGGGTGCCGATCGCATCTCCGAGACCCTACGGTGTCTCATTAGTAATATTTGTATGCTTACCTCATGTTCTGTACTGGTTCGATGTAATTTGTGTGTAATGTGTCAGGAATAAATGACTATAGACCATTATAATGTTAAATAAATACTTATATTATTTTTTATTTATTTATTTAACAAGTTTGCAAGACTAACAGCTAACAAAACAAAGAAAAAGAAATTGAGTATGAATCTGACAGCTAATGACAAGTCTTCACACTACTATAAAAAACAAACTGAATAGTTTTTATAATAACTATCGTGAGACATACTAAATTAACTAAAAATCGCGGGTTAATCACGTGAACATACTGAGAAAAGCTCTACTAGTTTCGAGACACAGAGGGACTTTTCCTCATGACCAGCGTGCGCGGTCGCGGCGATGTCACCAATCTGTCAAGAGCCCCTCCGTGACTCGAAACTAGTAGAGCTTAGGCCTTATATTTCACAAGCGCCATTTAGTGAGTGCAGAAACGATGGTCCTCATTATCTATTAGTTGTAATAATGGAATGCTGTCTTACCTGAGTCGGGGTTCGGTGTCCAGACGTGCCAGTACGTAACGCTGCACGTCGGCTGATACATGTGCACGTTGGAGCTCGTCCAATGTTATTTTACGGAACCCTGTCAAAGTCACAGTCAATATTTCATTTAATTCAATTGTGAACGACAACTAAAAATTAAAAAGTTCTTCGTCGAATAACTACGTGAGTAAGCCGAAAAATAATAATTAAAGTACCAGTAAACATCCTGGTGAGGTTCCTGCAGTGCTTCCTGGCCGTGCAGACCAGTAGCAGCCAGTGCGGGAACAGGTGCTGGTGCCGCGCCAGCAGGCGGGCCACCGACGAGGACCCTTCCGAGCTCGAACCCTCCTCGCACATACCTGGCACAAAGTTAAATATGTTATACGGAAACGAAATACAATAGGGTAGATGACTAATTTTTATATCAATGTCCGTCTGGTAGATTATTTTAAAACATTACACACGTATTTTTTATTTGCTTACTGAAACGAATACTTTCGACGATATATTGATTTGAAATGTCGCGTGACGTCACTTCTATGTACATTTTATACGTAGAAATGACGTTTTAGCCCCCACTCCTAAACTTTGATTCGTTTAATCTAAGTATCATTTTATTATAGGTACAACAAAATAAAAATATACGTATCAAATATTTTTTCATTACCTAACTGACGGACTAATTAGATTTTTAATTTTCATACCCCGTCATCATCCCTATTCAAACGAGTGAAGGCACTATTGACACACTGTTTTATTGCGTCTTATGTTTTTTTGCCAATTGGCGGGTTCAGTCACGCACCACAGATAAACTATCACCATAGACTGTACCATGTCCATAGACTACACCACAGATACACAACACTTACTAATATTATAACTGCAAAAGTTTGAGAGTTTATTATGTTTGTTACTGAATCACGTCATAACGGCTGAAGGGAACGGGATGACATTTGGGACAGAAGTGGATTATGGACTACAATTACACATAGGCTTTTTATCCCACGGGAACGGTTAATAAATAAAGCGTCTAATTCATTTACCGCCAGTAATGCCTTCATCGATAGCGTCGACCAGTAAGAAGAGGCACTGCTTAGGAGGATCTATCTCCAGCAGTGGGAAGAGGAGAGCCTTCTTGAAGCATTCATCAGGATTCTTCTCCAAATTTTGAGGTAATAGTGCCTGGAATGATAAAAATAGGAAAACGATTTAGAATTTTACAAAGGTCGAACATCCACTTTTTTCAGACAAGGCGATAGAGGACGCAATATTGTTTTTTGGAACAAAGTTCACTGTTTAATTTGACTCTAAAACCGAACCCGACACCTCCCACTCAACACTAAACGCTTACCTGCTGAATTTCAGGCTCAGCCAGCAACTTATCGTAATAAGCGTTGGCGATCAAAGTCCTAGGACTTATAGGTAGACTAGGAATAGGAGGGGGCACATCTTCTCTCTTCTTCTCACTCTCCTGTACTTCTACTTCTGGCTTCAAAACATTCTGGTATTCCGGCAACTCTTCTTTGGGTGTAGATGGTCTTTCAGGCTTCTTTGAGGGGGAGTTTTCAGCAGATCGAAGATCACTTTTGTTAGGGTACCTGTAAATGTGAAGGGGTGTGTATTTTATAATAATTGTTGTAGGGTGTACTGTGTTTGACATTGATTATTCTTTTTTTATTTTGTGATGTCACGTGTGACGTCTGTGTTGTATTTTTGGGCTCCGGTTTGCTTCGAAAGTAGTCGAGTATCCTTGAAAGTTTACGTGGCTTCAACTTACGATGAGTCATACTTAGGTTTAGTGCTAAATTATATATTTTTTTTAACTTACAAATTGAATTTAACTTCAACTTTTCCACTTTTTTGTAAATTTATCAAATACTTTTTGCGTGTAATGAATACAGCATACAACATAAAAATACACCTTTTACTACCGAAGGGGTAGGCAGAGGTGTACATTATGCCACTGTACAATGTAACCCACTTTTTACTATTTATGTGATGAGTCCCATGTAATAGGAGGTGAGCCTATTGCCATATACCGGGTACATTTTTAGATTCCATGCTACTACTGAGAACTTTTTAAAAACCCAATAATACTTTGCCCGACTCGAGAATCGAACCCGAGACCCCCTGCCCGGCAGTCGCACTTGCGACCATTCGGCCAACGAGGCAGTCGACAAAAAATATAAAAAATAGTAATTTGTAAGCCAAAAAACATACCTAAAATTAGCGACAGGTATCCTAGACTTAGGCGGGCTATTCTCCACCTTCCGATCTTCTCCAGAACTATCATTCTTCTGTTCGGTAGACAGACTCTTCTGCAGTAGACTGGTCTTCTTCTCCGATAGAGGCTCAGAAGACTGCCGCAAAAGTCTCGAATTCCTCAATTCTTTTGATTGGCGTTGCGATATATTGCGAAGAAATAGATTCTCGTGGTTTTCGTATAAACGTAGATCATCTTTGTCTTCTGTGACAAATGGATTTGTTGGTTTCACTGACGATCTTGGCAAGATTTCTGGCAACTGGATAAAGTAATAGATTTCATTAGTAAATTTGGTATTTTCCTTAATCAAAAATAAACTATTTCGAATGTTCAATACAATAGAATATTAAAAAATAATCATAATTTCATTAATTGATTTTGTGACCAACTTCATTTTAGTATTATTCCAGCAATTTTTTAAAAAACTACTATGCTTTTTGACGCTAAAAAATGTGACGTCACAATACACAATCTCGTACAAAATTCATAGATAACTGTCGTTTTTGACAGTTCGGAAAGTATTGAATTTGACTAGTTGGCAAGTACCCAATGACTGACCTCTTATTAAGGGGGCAAATCGTCTACTGACTTCAGCCTTGGATGAGGCGAGAGCAAGTGTCAGACTCTTACTGTCTAAATATTATAAAGGTAATCAGATCTCCGGATAAATACTAAAATGTTATTCAGCTTTAAGTTGAACTTAAATACTGTGCTATTTTGTAATTTTATAAAGTACTTTTAACGTACCTTTTGTATTGACTCTAACATTTAAGAATATTTTATAGCTGACTGGCGTTTACTAGTGACCCACCCCGGCTTCGCATGAGTGCATGCATAGTATGCATATACATGTATTATACATATAAACCTTCCTTAAGAACCACTCTATGTTTAAAAAAAACTGTAGTTCTTAAGATGTAAGCATACATAGGGACAGACAGACGGCAGAAAGCGACTTTGTTTTATACTACGTAGTGATTAGTTGTTAAAATAAATGCGTGTTTGAGCATTGTTTACACTTGTGTATTCAGTATTGCTAACAGGTACTCAGAGTCATGAAGGCTAAGGGTGAGTCCTTAGCCTTCATGACTCAATTTTCTCCTTGTTTTCTGTTTTTATTTTTCTCCTGTTTCTTGTTACTATGACTTATAATCAATCATACATTTCTGTATGATTAATTCTAAGATTAGTACGACTCACGTCATCAAGAGCACTGAGTGGTGCATCGGCATGTGTGTCAGCAGAGACGTCAGTATGTATCTCCGCGGGCGGGCTGCGGGCCCCGGGCGGGCTGCGGGCCCCGGGCGGCCGGCTACTGCAGCCACCGTCCTCCTCGTCTGTGCGCTGGTCTGTCGATACAATAAACATAATTATAATCAATACATCACGCCTTTTATTCCCAAAGGGGTAAGCAGAGGTGCACATTATACCACTGTACAATGTAACACCCATTTTTCACTATTTATTTATGAGTCCCATGTAATAATAGGGGGTGAGCGTATTGCCATATATCGGACACAATTCCAGACTCCGTGCTACTATGTACTGAAATTTTTTTAAAACCCAGTAATACTTTGCCCGACCCGGGAATCGAACCCGATGCCCCTAGCCCGGTAGTCGCACTTGCGACCACTCGGCCAACGAGGCAGTCATTTCATTTCGATTTACACTTAGTTGCTTATATATATTATATAATAGTCTGAAGCGCATCTTCGCTTCCGATTCTACGACAAATAATTCTTTTATAAGCTACGTTTAAAATAACCGACTTCAACCCCCACTTATTTTGAAGTCGATGATTAATTAATATACAGTGAAACCTGGTTAAGTGAGACATCAAGGGACCTTCAATGTCGTTTCACTTATAGAGGTATTCCACTTACCCAGTGTCTCAGATATACAGGTATAAATAAATATCTGTCTCATTTACAGAGGGTTCCATTAATATATGTTGACTTTGAATTACGTTTGGAATTTGTGGTTAGAATAAGAATGAGTAAACAAACAATGTTATCTCAGTTACAGAGGTTTATGCATATAAAATTTACTTGCTGTCTCAGTTATAGAGGTAACTATGATGATAAATCGAAAGAACAAACACCAGATATACAGGTTTACCTCGTCCCACTAACAGAGATAATTCAGTGCCAAGTGTTGGGACCTCAGCATGAGTTTCGGTTATGGAGGTTTCTCACTTATCCAGGTCCCAACCAAGTCCAACCAAGTCCTTAACCAAGTTTCACTGTACTAAAACGACTTATACTAACGTTCTTAAGGTAATAACTTCTCTACCAAGTACATACCTTCACTATCAGCCAGCAACGGCTTGGAGCTCTCCTCACCATCATCCCCGAGCTCACGGAACCGACTGATCAAACGCTCCTCTTCAGAATTGCGTCTGAAAACAAACAAACAAATAAATAAACAGCCCATGTATTGAAAAGATTGTCCATTGCCAACAAGGATGTAGCGAGGTTGACTGTCCAGGCGACACACGTACTTAGGTATCGTCATGAGCTAATGTTCACATGTAAACAGCAGCTCATGTAGTGTACATGTCCAGTCAACAAGGATATATTAAATAGGCCGTGCCCTGACAACTACACACTGGAATATAAGTCTCCTCTACATAAAAAAAATCTGTCCTAATCTTCACACTAGGCAGACGGGGTTTTTTTCAAGGGGGGAAAATCATCGAATGACTGCTCCCGCCTGGGTGAGGCGGGAGGGAGTGTCAGACTCTTACTGACTAAAAACCACCCCGTTCCTTCTCCTGCACTTCGACCTGCAGCCCCGGTAACCCGTTAGGTTCTCCGCGACAGGCAGACGGGTTGGTGATCGTACCTGTGACTGTGTGGAGTATCAGGGTCTCTTGGAGACAGATCCGAGTTATCAGCTCTTGGTCTCCGTGAAGAATGACTTAGTATCTGCATGGCTAACGAGCGAACAAACTCGCCGGGACGTAGGCTGCTCTCTGTGTGACTCTGAAAAAATAAGAATTCTTTTAAGTAATGATTTTTGCAAATGGTCTTATTTTTGATCCGATTGAAGACAGAGTATTAGCGCGTAAAGGCTTTTAGCGTATAGGTATATTTTATGTATATGGGTACAAGTATAATATATGGTCTCGGGGTCGATTCGGTCGGGCAAAGTATTACTGGGTTTTTTAAAAGTCTCAGTAGTATTAGTAGTAGCACGGAGTCTGGAAATGTGCCCGGTATACGGCAATAGGGTCACCCCCTATTACATGGGACTCATAACATAAATAGTGAAAAGTGGGTGTTACATTGTACAGTGGCATTAAGTGCCGTATTGTGCACCTCTGCCTATCCCTTCAAGGATAAAAGGCGTGATGTTGTGTTATGTTCGTTTCTTCTAAATCACGCCACCGATTTAGACAAATGATATGTCGTTAGAAACGTTGTGTCTTTAGATATGTGAAACTGGAAAAAAAATCAACATAGCGACTGTCAGGCGCAACAGTTTTAAGTAAAAAAAAATATATATTTTCTTCATATATTACAAAATGAGTATTAAATTAAAGAGCTCATCGAGAGGATTTCAAAATGATGTCATGTTTATAACAAAAAAATTCTTTCATCATCATATCAGCCATAGGACGTCCACTGCTGAACATACGCCTCCCCGAATGAATTCTAGATAGGCCGGTTGGAGGCTCCCTGCGACCTTAATGAGGTCGTCTGTCCACCTTGAGAATGTACGTACAAAAAATTCAACAAAAAAATATGTATTTTTATTATTTTTGTAAATATGTGTTTAAGCTAGATTAGTAGGAGTGTAATAAAGTTCGTCCTGTAAGGCTTGAAGGCATGACCTGGCAGTCATCAGCCCTGCATATCATCTTCTTTTTAGGCTATTACATTATTATTGCTAACTGGTAATTTCGAAATGGTTAACCCTCATTCTTGGGATCACAAAGAACCTACCTGTAGAAAGTGCCTAGCTAGCAGCCTTCGGTTGAGTGCACGTTGCTGCCTCGCCTGCGGACCCTGGCCTGGTTCACTCAGCTCCTGACATAGAGCTGTCTTACCACTGCCCGCGTCACCTGGGGAGGAATAGATGGTATTAAACTAAGATGCAACTAGACTAGTAAGAGATATACAGGATACTAGTAAGTGGTCACACAAAATACAAGCGATAACTCACTCTCACGATGATAATTATTTAACAGGTAACATGATCAAGAAGCAGACTTGAGAGAAAGGATCTTAAGGTACAGTCAAAGGTCAAAAGTCCACTGCCACCGTGTGTGATGTTCACACAGGAATGCGTAAGTAATTTCATATTAATGTGCATAAAACACAATGTGCGTGAGTGCGCATTAACACACGCACGCGTACGCACACGGATAATGATATGCGTGTGCATGTGTGTATAAGAGCTGCAGCGCAACCGATAGTAGTCCTACGGTGGCAGTGGACTTTTGACCTTAGAACGTACGAAATAGGGTAATTTCTTAAATTTTATTTTAATATCCGGCCGGTAGATGAATTTAAAATATTGGACGCGTATGCTTTCTTTTCTCACAAAATTAAATACTTCCGACGATATATTAATTTGAAATATCGTGTGACATCACAGCGTGCTACATTTTGTACCACGTTGTGACGTAACGACCTCCCACTTCTAAACTTAGCGCACTTTTTTTAAAAAAAGTGTCTAGTATTTATTTTCATTATCTAACCAACGGACTAATTAGATTTTGTAATTTTCATACCCTGGTAACTACCCTATTATCAAAAAAACATACTTTTTACGTAGTTAGCCTCTTCGGAGTCAAGATACACTCCATAATTAAATAAGAACGCATAAATGATAACTGTTATAGAGTACTTCTTTAAAACTCATATTCAAACCAATCTTCTAGTACTTCTCTAAAACTCATATTCAAACCAATACCATCACAATTCCAAAACTCACCCAAAATAAGTGCCCCACAGGTCTTGCTGACTGGTCGCTGTTCCAAACAGTGAGCAATCTTCTGGAAGGCCCACTCCCTGCAGAAGAACCTCCTCTTGTCCGTGGATATGCTGGTCTCAGTCACACGGTGCGCTGATGAGGACTTGCGGACTGGTCGGGAGTCTTTCTCGTGGGCCCTCGAAGCTATGGGACTAAGGGGTGTTCCTGAAATTAAGGAAAAGTATTTTTAAGTATTATAATGAACTTTTTTTATATTCGATGGGCCGACGTTTGACCACTATCTCGCCGGTGGTAAGCGAATAGCGATGATGCGGTCTACGATGGAGCACGTCGTCCCACAAACCTATTCACTCAAGCTTTGAAGACACCCTGGATATACTTTTCAGGAAATACAGATTCTGGCAAAGAATTCCACTCCTTAGCAGTACGCACAAGGAAGCTTGATGCGAAGCGCTTCGTGCGTGTCGGTGGGACATCTGACAAGATGGTGGCTATAAGCACACATTAACATCTACTCCTTCGGATGCAAAATTTGTATTACTGCAAGAATTTAACCAAAACATCCATAGAGATAATAATAATTAATTTTTTATAAACACATAAACATAAACATAACATCACGCCTTTTATTCCCGAAGGGGTAGGCAGAGGTATACATTATGCCACTGCACAATGTGACACCCACTTTTCACTATTATGTTATAAGTCTCATGTAATAGGGGGTGAGCCTTTTGCCATATACCGGGCACAATTCCAGACTCCGTGCTACTGCTGAGAATTTTATAAAAACCCAGAAATACTTTGCCCGAGCCGGGAATCGAACTCGAGACCCCTTGCCTGGCAGTCGCACTTGCGACCACTCGGCCAACTAGGCAGTTTTTTAAACTACATTTAAAAACCCGACTCCAACCCCCTCTTTCTTTGAGGCCGGTTAATTAATATACCAAAACCTTCCCTTAAGTGTTACAACTAAAAACCGCATGAAAATCTGTTCAGCCAATCGAGAGATAATTGCACACAAACATGCATACATACAGGTCAATATGAGAACCTCCTTCTTTTATGACGTCAGTTTTATAATTACCTACTAGTTACCTATCTACAGCACCAAAAGTAGAAGTTCAGATAAAACAAACCATCCAACAATACCTACCGACATCAATCTAGACCCCACAGTCGGAATCCAGGCGGAGTTTAAGCCAGTAATTGGGGTAAACGATTAAAGATTCAGCTAACCACGATAGCTTACAGCTCTGTAATTCAATCTAACTTTATTCCCGATGGAATAGTTGTTGTTCATATAATTTTGTTACATGTTCGTTTTTGAGCGAAATGCCTATTTGGGGGTGATAAATAGTAAGATTAAATTAAGTAAGTATATATTTTCGGTGATCTGGTGGTCCGGAGGTTTAAGACGCCCACTTCTCATGAATGAGAATGCGGGTTCGAAACCTACCAACGGCAAGTAGCAACGTGACATTTTCCGAGTTATATGTACTTTCTAAGATTATTTAGACACCACTGACAAACGGTGAAGGGAAACATCGTGAGGAAACCTGGGGTTAACATTTCTCATTATAATTTTGAAATCGCCAACCCGCATTGAGCAAGCGTGCTGATTAATGCTCTTACCTTCTCCGTGTGAGAAGAGGCTTTGCTCTGCAGCAGCAGCAGTGAGCACTTGTAGGTTGTTGATGTATGCATGAGCACCAGATAACCTGATGATAAGCTATTAGCGCCACCCATGGACACGCGTAACACCAGAAGAGTCTTAGGTGCGTTGCCCTATGACTCTTCCCTAGCCCTTTAAAAAGGAAGACCGTATTCCTCCTTTTCTCGAAGTATCAGTACTGAAACCGTATTTTCCTAGAAAGGTATCAGGTAACTAAGCAAACAGAACAGCTGTTGCTGCAAGGACAGCAGCCAGCAGAACTAATGAATATGTTAATTTCGATATTGCTCGGAGTCTCATTGAAGGATCGAATCCGAAACGAAGTGATCCGACAAAGAACCAAAGTTATCGGCATAGCCCGGATTAGTAAGCTGAAGTGGCAGTGGGCCGGTCACATTTGTCGAAGAACCGATAACCGTTGTAGAAATCGTGTTCTAGAGTGAAGAGAGATTCGTGTTCTAGAGTGGAGAGAGATTCGTGTTCTAGAGTGGAGAGAGATTCGTGTTCTAGAGTGAAGAGAGATTCGTGTTCTAGAGTGGAGAGAGATTCGTGTTCTAGAGTGGAGAGAGATTCGTGTTCCAGAGCGTCTAGGCTGCATAGGCATGCAAGATGTCTGGCAGTGGTTGGATGAGAAGAGCTGAAGACCGAGTTCAGTGGCATGCCATTAGAGGGGCGTATGTACAGCAGTGGACGAACACGGGCTGATGATGATGGTGATTCCGTATTGACGTTAACTTTATTGTAGGTACCTACTTGCAAATTCTATAAAATAACACGAATTCTAGAATTCTACATGCAGTAATATTTTCTTTTTCTTCATCTTTTGATTAGCACTCATAAATAAAACTGGTGCTCCTAATCCTTCAGAGAACAAAATACACGGCATTTTTTTAAAACGACATTGCAAAACATAGTATTATAATAAATACTACCAAAAGAATATCAATAGGAATAGGGTATATGAGAAAAGATGCTGAAAAATAGAATAATAAAATCAGAAGCCCCCTCACGAAGCAAAGCTACTAACTCTTAACTCAATATGAGTCCCCCTAGGGACCGAGAGCGCATCTATTACGATCCAGAACTTTAGGAAAGTTGCTAACAACATTACTATGATGCATTGATTGTATTAAGGACTTGTATTCCCTTAAGGGGTCGGTAGAAAATGCAGTGATATTTTGTGATAAGATGTCGAAGATGTCTGCGCAAGTCTGCTATCGGAGAAATTATGATAGCAGACGGAAACGACTGAACGAACTAATGATGATGAAGTAGAATTGGATTTTCTCCTTGTTGGAATATACGAAATATGTACACAAAGCACCGCTAATTAGTTCGTAACGCTCACATCGACACTACTGTCATTTACACAATGTACATGTGTGGGTAATTTCATATTACTGTGTATAAAAATATTCGTCCACCACGTTCACATTGGTATTTTCATTCTTGTGTCGGTATACGTATTTTTATAATTTAATGCATGGGTAAGGTTAAAACTATTTACAATCATTGATATGACCCGACATTTTCACTGTAATTATCGTAGTGCTCGTGGTCGATTGGTTAATGAGTACGCTTTTATCGTCTTTCAAGGATCAATGATGATGTGGGTTCTATTCCAGCTAAAAGTTTTTTTTTATTTTACCTTGTTGTTTTTCTTATTTATTTTTTTTTTGTTTTTTGTCATATAATATAAATATCAGGCTATAAAAGAAGCAAATCAGTCGGTAAATAAAACAATACTATTTTTTATTAAAATTAATTTATTAATTATACAAATATGTGGTTTTATATTCAATATTTATATCTAATAATTAATTATATACCACATGTTAACTTTAAAGTTCTTCCAATCATTCTAAATTATTCTAAATAATAAATAACTAGAACTAAAATATAAATAAAGGATATTATAGGTATAAATAAATCTAAAGTATTTACTATTAAAATTAACATAAGATTTAGAAAAATAGGATAGGAAAAAAAGAAAAGATTTAATTGTTTCTAATTTCACATTTCAAATATTTGATTAATTAATACTAAAACAACATGTGAATGCTGGAATCGATCCGGTGGCACTTTACTTGACCACTGGAGGCGATAACCATTGCGCCAAGCGCGCCGTAGATGAGAACATCGAAATATTGTATATCATTCAGTAACATAAAAATACAATGAGAATGCACTATATTTATATAAGTATTGTATTGCTCGATCGTTCATTATTTTTGATTTCGATTTATTCAAAGTTTGTTATGAGTATTTTTATCTTTACCCTCGTTTTTATTTAAACTTATTTACTAAAATATTACGTATACCGACACAAAAATGATATGTAATACCAAGATGTGTGTGATAGAACGAATGTTTCTATACATATCTATTAATATGAAATTACCCACACATGTTCACTGTGTAAATGATAGTAATGTCGATGTGTAGCGCCTCGAACTAATTAGCGGTGCTTTGTGTACATA